CTGAAGAGTCGCCGGTCAAGAATAGCAGCAGCTTTTGCGCAGTTACTCTTGGTCACTACTTTTCCTCTCATTCCATATTTTGTGTCCTTTATATCTCGACGTAGCACGACGACAACTAGCCGGGGGACTGGCTCTGTCACTGTTAGGGCTGCAGGACCGCTAGCCATGGGCGGCTCCGCCGTTTTCAATCCTCTCCGCTCCAACTACTTCGCGCTAGCCTTCGACGTAGCAGACCCTGCACCCGATCCTCCCGCTCGACCGCTGTCGGCCTCTTCTGCGTCATTAAGTCTTCCGTGAAGCCTGGTTCTCTCTTCTCTCCAGTTTTTCGTCCCCAACGGTATGTTCTCCCATGCACTCGTCGCTGTGGATTTCCACGCTGTGGGCCCTAATCACCACCGGGGTGACACAAAATTACAATGCTTCCCTAGCCTTGCCTGCCCCAGACAAAAAGCCCAATCTCTAGTCCTCGCCCATTCCTCCTGTCACCGGTGTCGCACATTACAACCTTGCCGGCGGTAAAGGTAGGCGGTGGCTAGAAGCAACCGAATGAACCAGCCCAGGCTAGATCTGGCCAGGCCGTGCCAGGCCCCGACCCTTCTACGGCAGGTGGTCAAACGATCATCAGTGGACGAACGAAGACAAGGATTCAGTACAATGCGTGCAGCAATGGTCATTGGCCAGTCTCTACGATGTCTATTGCTTCAAATTACGTTTCTGCTACTATTATTAGTAACTTGCTATATATAATAATATATAATATAGCAAAAACGTATTTTTGAGGCGACACTACTACTCCAAAAGGCTCAAATATGAGCCATATAGTCAGGGCATTTCTTTAATTCATGCCGACGATGTAAAGGAGACAATTAACAAATAGGAATATGATAAAAAAATGCATACTAAACTGAATATTGAAAAGACGTATGGCCTGGAAATACTATTTAAAAGGTGACACCAAAGACTCCATCCTTGTCAAAAATTTATTGACAAATCTTCTAAGCGAAGCAAGGTCTTTCGATAAAAGTTTGATGCATTTTTTAAAGTAGCCATATCATGTACGAAGTAATCTCATTTTTAATTACCTCAACACATGATCTCTCAATTAGTAGACAAAGTATACCTAGAAACAACGAATAGATTACCGAACATACTGATCTGCTACGTGCGTTCACCTCTTCTTTGCTATAACTTAATCAGCCAGAGTTTAACGCAACTCACGGTCAAGATCGCTAACATTATTATATCATGAGAATATCACTTTATGTAAGATAACAACGTGCCGTAATAGCGGCGCTTGACGACCAGAAACTACGAAATGGTTCCATCATGTCCAGGTTTCCTTTTCGTATGGTCGTTGACGCAATACGACAGTATCTAATATCTCGCTTGTGACCTGAATAGAACAACAAACACTATCCACGTCCACGGAACGATCCTTTGGTTCCGCAGAAACAAGAAACTCACCATTATAGGCTGTGGCCGACAGCCTTCGCATGGAGCCATTTTGGATTTGGCAGGACTGCTTCGTTTCTACTAAGGAACAACTCGTAAGAAAGTGGAACTAGTCACCGCGAGACATAATGTTAGCATATGCATGATCGGCTCGAGTATGCAGGCATACGCTCTGCCTCGTTAAACCTCCCGCTTAAATTACCACTACATGATTGCTAGTGACTGTGGTGGGCGGTTTAACCCAACAGAAATCTGGGTCGCCACTGAGAAACTAGTCGCGCCCAAAAAGCGGCGGCGTGGCGTTTCAGCGCCGCCGTGGGCTATCTACTAGCGGTTTTCCGTCAGTTTTCATTTTTTTCTTAAAATACAGCTAAGTACTAAATTCGACTAAACTCTCTTTGATATACAGATCAACCACAAACAGTACTAATTCGGTAGACAAATAGTGTGCATAGGCTGAGCACCTGTTAGGAAAGCCAAAGGTTCATGAGCCAAAGCAGGTAGCATTTTGTTGCGTATACCCAGAATGCTCCTGTTGATAGAAAAACATAGGTTTCTAAAGTTGGATTTATATCTGCTTCCATCCTTGCACCAGAATACTAATTTCGATTAGATTATGGTTTATCGTATTCTCGTTTGGCTATTTCAATATTTTCTTTTCAAGATAAACCCACATCGTGCATCATCTTCGTATCGTAACAAAAACCGAACTTTATGTTCATTGCTATCTAAATTCATACAGCCCTATAAGCCAGTTGCTTTTTTAAACGATGACCTCTTTCTGCCTTATTTTACTTTGTATAAATCCAATAATACGTGACAAGAATACCAGAGACGAAATACGGGTTAATAAGCAGTTCTCCTAAAGGTGCTGTTTCTTTAACCGTCAATAGAAATACTGCTCGCCAACAGCCCTAGGGCTAGATATACTGATGATGGCTTTACGCTTAGTAAGTAAGCTAGTCTTGTTACGCTTCTAACTCTTCTCGTACCCCCTACCAACAACCCTTTCTCCCCTTTTTTTGTCCCTCCTTTATCTTATCAACCCGTACGGTGATCGTTCGTAACAATGACGAAATAAGAGACTCATGCTAGTAGCAGTAGCAACAGGAGCCTCGGCAATAGCGATAACACGAACAGCTGCAGCAAAAGAAACCCCTGTCCATAACAACGACGGCGCCCGCAAAGGGTGGAAGTCCATCAAGCAGCTAACCAAAGTCGACGTTGAAGTTGTTGCTGCCCCTTTCACCGTGAGGGTTGCAGATGACGGCAACGGAATGGATTTGCGAGATTCATCAGCGCCATAAAAGAACTCAGAATAGACTCGAGGGTGAAAGTCTACTGACGAAGGGCGAAAAGACGGGATGGCCAGTGATGATGACAATCGAAAAGCTGCCGGTAGCCCTCGTTACCCCTTGCCTCTGACCGACCCACCGACGGCTTTCGAGAAAAGTTCGTTTTAGTGCTCCTGTTACTCTACGACTGTGACTCTCATTCGAGCCACTTTGTGGTGTACAGCTGACACTTTCGTCGAAAGAGATTGCAAAAAGGGTGAACAGTCGAGCAGATAGGACCAACAAGCGGATACTGGTTTATAAAAAAGCACAATAGCGGCTACAAAGGTAGCTTGCAGAATGTAACGGTGTCAGTAGATCTACTAAGGAAATAGTAGATGCTCTTGTTTGCTCAAATTTCCCGGTCAACAGTTTACGACAGTTCGACGTTCTTTGGCAATCCAAAAGCGACAGTATAAATATATAACGACAGAAGGATATATATGAATCTCTGCGAATATGAATCTCTGTGAACCAATGAGTAGAGTGCGCTCTTGTGTTGCTTCGATCGAGAATTGCTTCGAATGTATGGCTAAACTGGACGCATATTCCGACAACCTGTACGCGACGCAGCAAACAGCTTAAACTATTGTTTCCACGTGTCACCTATCGGTTTAGTACCGTAGATAGCTACTCGTCACTATGGTGCTTGAGATCAAATAAACGAATAAAAAAAAAAATAGTTGCTACACAATTCCTTCTATGTGCCTACCCTTTGGTGACACCCACGTAAATTTAGAACTTAGGAGAAAGTGTAATGCTATTCAGACTAAAAGTATATAAATATGCGGCGCCACAACCAGGACCTAAATGCTCCAAAACAAAATGCCTTAAAGGTTCAAATTGGTTTAGGGATCATGCCTAAAAGATGCAAAAAGAAGCTACTATATCCCGTTCCTGCTATATCGATATAGAATTAGTGTCGGATAGCCTATATTTATCCCGCTTGACGTTATATGCCTAGTCAGAAGGTTACCATTGTTCGAAACCTCTAGGCTTATGGAGATCCTTAGAGGCCGGACGTAAGGTTCGAAACATCGAGGCTTAAGTAGATGCAGCCGATGGTTGGAATTCGACTTTAGTGGGGTAAACGAGACGTAATGGACGCAGTTGCTTTACCGACTAATGCTGTTCTCTTTAGAGATGTAGCAAGGGGTCAGCTTTTCTAGATCACTGCGACAATGCGTACCATTCTATTTAAATGTGCACACTCTGCACGAAACAATGATGTACTGTTATAATCGAATCTTATACACAGATCTTTGCCAACTTGCCATTGGCCTACTTTTCGTGACCATTCACTAGTCCTGTTACCGAAACAAGGATCCTATGGAGGTTATCGACTGATCTTATTTAAATGATATTTCGCTTCTATCTAGGCATTGGGTTTCGATTTCGAGATAATTTTGTTTAATTTATGCTTATTCCTTATCTTTGTTCAAGTACTAACAATCTGTGAACGCCGAACAAAGTGCCGTTACCGCGAGTTCAAAGCTTGACATTTTTGGATAGCGCTTAGTTGAAGGCTTTGGAGTATTTTAATACTAAATGATTGTACGTAGATAGCGGTATTTTAGTTAATTAAATACAAAACAGTAAGTAATTCTGGTAGTTATGAAGACAAAAAATAGTTATGGAGCCAATTTTGCATCGAACATTCGGACGCAATACATTTGAGTTTGCCACGATATCTTACGTTACGTTACGTTAGGTAGCTATACAACGTTGTGATAGGTTACTTAGCCTATTATTTTATCATATATATTCTGTGTACCCTGTACAAATTGATCCAATGCCGTCGTTGTATTTTTCCTATTTAGAACAATGCACAGATATAGTGTAACGTATCTATAAGAATGAAATTATTAGAACTAAGCTTATGACAGGAAAAAATAATCCCAGTAATAGTAAAGGATAAACAGGTTATACTGTAGAACAAAGAAATTAGTACTATATGATATTTTAATTGTACTATATTATAACCCTGCCGCATCTAAATAGACCCTGCCGCGACATTAGAACCGCAAAAAATGTTCTATTTAACAGATTAAAACATAACTCCGTGTTAAGCGTGTGCGTAAGCTGTATTAACTGTGGGAGCTTTCTATTTACAACATATGCTGTAAATCCTACAGTTACGAAATGATCGCCTTTCGGGTTTAACCTTTCGAATGACAAGCGATAATTTGCCACTTACCGTGTCTATCTTTTCAGCGCTCCATTGCAATTTACCAGTTGGATCTGATCGCTACAAAATCATGCAAAAAAGATTACGCTGCTACTCATCCTCAGTTTCGCTCAATTTGGCGCGGATTTGTAGCAACGGATTGGAAGTTGGACGAACTTCACCAACGGTCAATAGCGGGAGAGAACGCAGTTGGTGACTAGCAATTCTGGATGGCCCACGGAAGTTGCGAGCTCTTCGACAGCAGGGGGAGGCGGGAGGCTCATAAGCAAGCTACTAGTGTAAGCATGGGTCGTCTTTATACTAATTCTTTACTCTATTCCTGTTAGCCGACTGCGGAAAGATACGACTTGATGAATAATGCAGGAAGAGATAAGTGCGAGCGCGGTTGGGCGGGTGTAGCAAAGCGGCCCTAGGTTGTTACTTTGGGCTGGAACTTCGCAAGCAGGCCAGTTCAGGTCTCCAGGGTTCCGCGAGAAGCCAGCTGTTCCATAAGGGCCCTTTCTCACGAAGTCTCCCTCCGGATCCCACGCCGAGAAACGTCTGCCCCTTTAGACCCTTCGTAAGCCCCTTCAACACCCACCGCCCAGACCCTGCTGGGTTCTGCAGGCGCCGCCGCTGCGTCAGCTGCTGCTAGTGATGACCATAATTTGCATATTTAATGGCTGGCCGAAAGCTGTACGTGCCAGTTGGCCCTAGGAAAAGGAGGAAGAGTCAAACCCACAAGCTTCATAACGCGTACACGCGTTCGTACAATGACTAGCTACTGAGACCACTATGAAGACTAGATTACAGATCTTATATAAGGAGAGAAAGGAATAAACCTACAAACGAAAAGAGAGTTTGTAAAACAGTGTATATATGGGCAACAAGCGAACATTTTCTTGTAATGACATTTAACAGCTTAAGTTCCTCAACTTTCCCTAACTAGAAACGTTTGTGTGACTTTCTGTTCGGGATAATTTTCGCGTAACAATGTACTAACTTGACGTACGTTAGAGGCACAAACAGTTGCAGACTGCATGACATACATGCCAGCGAATATTTTAGGGGAAAACCGTCGGTGTTAAACAAAGAAGATACATGAGCATATATTAAGGATAGGTAAGTGGCGGATACTCACAGCTGTCTTAGCTGTTATTGGTTTATATTTGAAATTAAAAGAAAATCAAGAAAGTGTGCCGACTTGGCGCCATATAAGACCTCAACAAATTTGCATAAAAATATCACCTTTAACATACTTCACTCGTGAATGACGAGTCAAAACTATATGTAGACAACAAAATTATTTATGCAAATATTAACGTAAAGAAACCTAGTGTCTCAATTTTTTACTTTTTGTATTTTCTAGAAGCAAAGGCGTCATCTGCCACAGGTGTAAAAAGACCCTGGCATGTTTGCGATTGGGTAGGTTAAGCGGTCCAGACGAAAGGGGAGGCCAAATAGACGGCAGGGGCCTTGTGGTAATGCCGATCAGCGTAATGATAAAACTAAACACCGGAGACAATAAGTTAGTAAGTTATTATTTAATATCAGTTGGGTCAGTAACGCCATCCAGCTTTAAACTGGCGACAATTGATGCATAAACGGTGGAAGCTATTCTATACAGGATCTAAGCTATCCCATATAAAATGTCACAAATCATCCGTTTCGGAAATCCGTCAGCAGGGCCAGTTCTAAACTGCGTCTGTACCTTCCTTTCGTTTTCTATCTCATTTCCTTTTAGGGCAACTGCAACAGAAGTCACATCAGTAAAAGCATAGTATTACTTGCCGGCGGCGTCTGCAGTAGTTGGTACAGAAACGGCTGTGCCAGAAGCAGAAAACCATGGTTTCGTTTAATAAGTTTAACGGGTGCGCCTGGCGAAACAGTGCAAAAAGGACGAACCAACAAGGACACCAAAAAAAAAAGAGCTATAGAAATACAGGAGTACAATCTGTCCAGTGAATATGTATCAACAGTTGCTGAGTGCAGTATGAGAAGATGTTGCCACCAAAGCGGCAAAAGCTATAGCGTTTGTACTAGTTCATGTATGTTCTAGACAGTGTGCTGTCTCAGACACGTTTCGATTACACATCAAACAATACACAGACTTCAGCAAATGTGGGAGAAAACTGCTGTAATTCGTATACTATACGTGTTTGCCTATGTCAGTTAGGGAGACGTGAAGAGATGCTCTGCTGCTGAAAAGTATCTTCTGATGTACTTTATTATAAAAGGGTATACACAAGAACGAGAGCAAAAACAGAGAACGGATTAAATGGTGCAGTAGAGGTCTGTTAAAACGTTCAGTCAATAAAAGCTATGCACGTTTCAATTGCATTGACATTTTGTTACATGAAAAAGTTAAAAGAAAAGCAAGGGTCACATATAAGCACAAAAGTAAGAATCGTCGGTGGAAAGATGTGGATTCCTTGTTGGCGGATTTGAAATGTGTACAGAGAGAAGTATGTACACGGGTAAGAGAGGACGTTGATACGAAAGGCCTTCTACAGATGGAATAAGCAGGAGTAGAAGGACGTATGTTCGCTGGATGGAAAAAGGCATGAGGTCTAGAAGCGATTGATCACCTCCATTAACTATTGATTTAACGGTTATGCTTTATCTTTTGATCACCGGTATGCCGACTAGTCAGCGGCGCTTAGGGTTTACCTACCTCTGAATTAGAGGTTCTCTAATTCACCATCGGAAACGTCCTAGAAAGAATGAAAGAGCCACGTGATTTGGTTTATATAGACATCCAGAGGTCGTGCCCGCACCTCTACGTGCAATTTCTTTACATGTGTATATACGCAAGTGCAAATATAAAACTTTGACAGCCAATATTGTTGTTGTTAATATTGTTCTAGTCGTATTGACCTATAATATTATTTGAGTTGTCTCATGTTAGCTGTGCAGCATATATAGCGAAGCTTCTACAGATACTGAAAGTACAAAAATTTTTTTGCAACAAACGGCTTTACTATCTGTAACTTGACATCTGTAAAAACTTAGCATTTATGTTCCAACAATAGTAACGATGTCTACATAACTTTCCATTAACCAGTCTTTCCTAGAAGCTCTCCAATCATCTGCAACTTGAGGTTGAGGTTGAGTCTTGATTCAATTCATACGTGTTGTCATCGTCGTCATGAACAGCCTTAAAGAACATAGCTTGACGTCACGTCACGACACCTTTCAGAACGCTCCGATTCCTACTTCGTTCGGGCTATGACGTGCCGCTTATGTGGGCGCCTATATCGTCTGCTTTCCCTAAACATAGTGTGCTCATCGTTCTGTTTGCCTTTTATTTATTCGCTTGATTCACTTATACAGACTGCTAGTCGCATTTCTAAAGAGAGTATTTCCCACTGTTCGGAGGCCATTATGTAAGCGAATTAGATGCTGTGTACGCCAAGCCAATAACGCTAACCTCGCACTATTGTGTGGCATGCGCACCGTTCAGTAAGAAAAAAAATTCTGTGTGTTTACACCGAATGTAATTGTACGTGCATACTTTCTTTGTGTGTTTATTAGACATGACAGGCAGAAAAATGAAGAGCAGGGCAACAACAACGACAGCAACAACACGAACGACGTTACAGAAAAGGTTTTCGCGGACATAATTTTCAGGACTAGGGTTATGGAAGCGCTCTGTGGGCAGTCGTTTAGGTGACTTTACGTTATCCGCCATCGAGGGAACCGCTTAGGGGAGCTACGGTCGCAGGATAGTTTCCGTCCCTGTACAGCTAACGATAACGGGTGAGCTTGCTTAAGTTTATTCTTTGACAGTTTTGCGCCGGTAGCCTCCTAGACAGGATAGATCATAGACAAGCAGGGCACATACCCGAGTACCACGTCGATCCGATCCTATGGGTCTCTGGCAGGTCAGCGCGTTTCAGTAGGCCGGCTAGGTGCAGGATGAGTTGGCGTGACATTTGCAATTCCAAACACGGCGTCCGTCGTTTTAGACGACGAAGGCCAGTCATAACCCATTCAGCTTTCATGTGGCGTAAGCGTTTCTTTTGCTTGAAGTTGTTCTGCACAGGCTTCCGTTCCTTGTCGTTGGAATTTCACTCCTTCAAATGTCGTCGTGCATAGGCTATTAAGCGAAAAGGTCTGTGAAGCCCTTGACTACTACAACAATACACCAACGCTGATGAATAGCGATACTGCCACGACAACTGCAACGTCTTCTTATAAGGTAAAGCTCACGTTTAATGAATTGTAGTTATGACGGAGCAAGCGCTTGCATTGGGTCGTCTTATTTAGAAGCTACATTTCTTTCGACATCTGATTATTAGGCTAAAAAATTAGTCAATTTAACAAGGACAACCTTCTGTGGCAAGCAGTGTGAAGCACGCTTATATAATATTGGGCACTGTAATGTTAAACACGTCTCCAACTAGGTATAGAACTGAAGAGGCTAGCATATCCCGATTCATATATATCATATCCTTCGTATATATATATATGGCAGGGTAAGAAAACAGTCTGCTGTGATCACATTGTGTTTATTATTAGTGAAGAACCTATACAATCGAAGAATAGACAGAAGCCTTGGTCACTAACATAGTTATTGTGAAACAATTCTATTCTAAGGCCGCATATTAATGTAAATGGTACGTAATGGTGTATTAGATTGTAGACTGTTACAAACTAGAACCCGTATTGATTACATTTGATCCTGCCTTGACATCCTATACCAATAGGACAGAAGGGGCACACACATAAAACCATAATAGAGTTATATGAACTAGAAGATTTCCTCAGGTGAAGTCCGGAACTGAATTCCACTATATCATGGTTAAAAAACTAGGCAAACGGCTTGTACTAAGACCAATACCGAACGACCTTGGCGACGAGAAGGAAAACGAAGGTTTTTATGTTTTCGGTAAAAACACTTTCTGTCCTTCGGCAAGAGCACTAGACAAGCAAACATAAAAAGATATAAGCGTGTAAGAATTGACGCAGATACGAAAGAAGGCCACATACAAGGCACGAAAGCATGGGAGGAGCGAAGGAGAGCATGGGTTGGAAGAAAACAAAAAAACCTAGAAAGTAGCTTGAGAAAGCGGTAAAACAAGACCATCGGAGATGGCAGAACAACCTTTACAATATCAGAATAAGGAAATATGGAATGAAGGAAGGTGAGTAGCACACATTAAAACTGGAAACTGTATGTAGAGTTTTAAATAGAACGCACGAAGGAGAAGAGACAAAGAAAACAGTGATACCAGTTAGAAGGTTCAGATTCGAAGACAACGACCGATCAAGTGGCCGTTCGGTCTGATGACTGTATTGATCTGGATCAAGCTGATCATTATATTTGTCTATTGTTTTTTGGCTACAGAATGCAACTTATCACAACTGGCTATCCGGCAGTTGCATGTTTCCCTCACACTACTACAGCTAGGAAGAAGGGACAAAAGGTGACGAGTTTTGACGGCCGAAGAGATAAGGCCGTGCGCTGTTGGGTTGCTAGGCTCATTATATTCCTGCGGTCGCTGTCACTGACCCTACACCAGCCTCATTCAGCTGGTTAGTCAACTCCAACAACGAAAACAGCAACTGAACGAAAGCTTACGTTTTATTGGACAACGCATACAGGTAGTGATGACTAGAAAGGCCATCGCCAGTTCGCTGGACTGCGCGTGTTGCTACAATGTAACCGCTACTTAATTTGATGAGCTGCAAAATATCAGCAGGCGAAAAAGATATCGAGTTCGAGACAGATGCCAATATCCGAGAAAATAAATACATATAGGATAGATCCATTCGTTGTCATCGCGACGAATGCTTACAAGCATTCAACGTAACGGAAGCAACTTGTCCAACGGAAGATTATATACAGATAAATCAGTACATCAGAAATACAGAAATTTCTGTATTTCTGATGAAAACTGAGAGTGTGTGGTAAAACCCGAGAGAAAAGAAGACCTGGCAGAGAGAAACCGAGTACTGGCTCTGGTCATGGTCCGCATTAACATAATCATCTGTTTGCTTAAGTTCATGAAGTGCGTTACATATGTGGAACTTTCAAAATATAGGTTTTTAGAGGTTTCTGTTGGACAGGTTGAAAGAGCCTTAAAAAGAACACTATTTAATTGTTAATTGGAACTTAACGTAAGATGTAAGCTTATTTTAATTACTTTATCGCTGATGTATTATTGTTTGAGAGACTGTCTGCATGCACCGAACTTGCAGTGACGAAAGGGAATTTTTACGAGAATCACGAGCTGCCTCACGCTACGTCGAGTAATCAGTCTTTTACATATCATATCATATATGCCTCTCCAAGACAACTTCGTCAGAGTTCTCAATGCAAACTGAATTCATTTTATACTGACACGACAGCGGCGACTGGAATCATTACTGAATCATGTTTGAGGTCGTCGAATAGGTGTCAGGTGCTTGATGGACGCCAGTCTCTCAGTGTTTCCTCATCTTGTCAGTCGTGGGGTGGTGACATCTAAGTTGTGTGTGATATCGAGCTTAGCAGAGACGCCATTGCCTTTTCCGTTCCGAGGCGCATCTAGCTAAGAGGTGTTTTCACGGCAGAAAAGTCAACTCTTTTTCTTGGAGTGGCCTGCTCAGCTGGCAATAACGGCTAAAGCTATAGCACAATAGTAAGTCGGCTGTCATAGTACTACTTGCTGCTGATAGCGTAGCGGCGGTAGGCGTTTTGTTTAAGCTCATTTAGCATAGGAACCCAACGGCGTCTAGCACAGCACACCGGTAGAGAGCGCGCTCTGTATTCATAATAGCCCCCCTGGGACATAACGTAAACAGAACAGGGACCTGGTCAAGAGGGATATGAATCGAATCCAGACACATGTTTTGTCTATTACAAGTATCATATATTATACAGAACATGGCATATATATATTGCATGCTGTAAATTCTATAATGCACACCACTATCATGAGCATAGTAAACTGGCACTATAATTGCTTTACTCTAATTTGCGGCAGATCATGTAATGGTAATTAGCATCAATTGATTACAGTCTAGCCTAGCAGTTTTCTGAAATGGCCAATGTTAACTGGCAGCCAAAACTGAGAAATTAAAATCAGACAACCACGTCGAGTTAAGTTTGGCGCTTATTTTAAAACTTATTTACCTTACACGAAATGTGTGCATGTTTGCGTTATACGGCGCATCCCTCTACACGACTATATTAAGTTTAAGGTAGAATATACGGAATAATAAAAATCAGTAGACTTAAAGGGACAATTACTCGGTCTTAAATAGGTATGTAGGATCCTTCACATCATAGGTAGAATCTATTACCGTTTTTTTTTTTTCGTTATCAAGATATCCGAAATAAAGTCTGATAAATGTAATGTCTAAACTAACTGTATGATGAAAAAATTTGGTTTGTTAAGAATTGTTCATTGCAGACTACATTGTAGACTCTTCGGTTTACTCATCACGAAGCTAATCTTCTAATTCCACAAAAGGATCGTCACATAGATTTTTATTAATTTATTTAGAGTAGTGACCTACTGCCTTCGTTGTGAGAAAGAACTGAGTAAGCATCCAATGTACCAGGGCTCAGGTCAGCCATACTGCGTTTCCGTCAATTTTGTCCCTTTCCCGAGTCAATCTTGTTTTCTAATTGAGTTTTGGCGTACTATCCAAGTACATGAGCAGGTTGGTAAGGGTTTACTGATACGAGCAATGTGCTCACAGCCCTAAGCTAATGGATAAGATAGTGCATTGTTGTATGCTTAACTCGAAACGCTAGTACAACAACGGGATAAG